AAGTGCTTCCTGATTTTTTCTTCCTTCTTTTTAACCAGAAGTCACAAAATATAGTGGTATCAAAGTAGTATGAAAGAAGTACTTTTTAATACATGTTTAGAACTTTAGTGACTGTTAGTGCTTCTCACATCCATCTAAGCTGATACTAAGTTCACCTTACGTCACCAAGTTTACACTGTGTGATAACACAGAATCAAACCTTTACTCTCACCTGATACATAGAAGTTACTGTGTTCTGCTTGCCTCTTGTAGCCTGGCTACAGCAATACTAGGCACACATTGCCAAAAATCAAAAGAAACCTGCAGAAGCAATTTACAGGTCAGCTGGAAGATATTCTGTCTCTTTTTGTCAACACATTGAGACTTAACATTAGTAGCATATGTTTCTTACATCAGATTGTTCATAAGATGCAAAAGCATTTTAGTTATTTCCTCGCTGACTTTTGTAGTAATGAAATTACTATAAGCAAAAGGATCACAGCATGTTTGTCAACAGCAAATAGTCTATAGTGAGCCTAGAACAAAGTCCAAATTCTACAGCAATTATTTGCCATATTTATTTTATATAGCTTCACTTTCTCATATAAACTTTTTTTTTTTTTAATTCAGAAATTTGTGGTAAACATAAATTTAATTTTCTCTGCCAAGCACAATTTACAAAGCCAACAATCTTCTCAAACTAAGATGCTATATTTTCTTAAACTGAGCTGGCATTCCCTCTGCACACCTCTTAAGAACTTTCCTTGCTACATCCCTTCCTACACTCTGATCCAGCACTGTCTTCCTAATTCTGTGGGGAAACACTGAAGTGAACCAGAACTAAAAGGAAGTAAGTCTCACTTCAACTAACCAGAATTCTGTGAGCAGTGACAAATGGTTCAGAAATCATGTTCCTTTCTCAATTCTGCAATCTTTAAATCTCCAACTCTTATTTGCAACACACATATCCTTGTGTTCTCATTATAAAGGCGTGGCAAAAGTAACCTACCCCTGAATATGGACAGAGAGACATAAAGTGCCTTTTGTATGTATTTTATCTGGAACAGCACTGAATTGTTCACCAGCAGAACTGACCAGAATTAGGGGGAAAAAAAGTATAAAAACTTATGGAAATTATAACAGGAACATAACATTTTAACAGTACTTCAAAGCACAGAATCAATGCCTGGAACTTGGCCTAAGTCAAAGTTCCTCATGTTTGTGAAAGAGCAATATAACTCTCACCAGAAGCTTTTCCTTTCTTATAGCATTCAAAAGCTTAAATTCTGCAATGAACTTCTGCAATAGATATCCCAGAAAGGGAAAAAACAAAAACAAAACAAAACAAAACAAAACAAAAAAACAAACAAACAAACAAACAAAAAAAAAACCAAAAAAACTAAGCCACAAGAAGGATCTGCTGTTATAATTTAGTACACTATTGCTTCAGAAAGTTTGCAGCCATAACTACTGAAGGGGATAAATATGAAAAAAAACAGTGAAAATCTGAAATATTAATAATACGCACCTAAAATACAATGAAGACACACCACTTATTTTGAAATCAACACTGTGAAAAAAATCTTGAGTTCATTCTGATATGTTAAAGAACACATTTTTGCAAAGTTAACAAAGAAAAAATGTTGACTGTAAACAAGCAAAGATTGTGACACAATTAATGGCAAAAAGCAAAACTTCCTTAGAAGACTGTAGCCTGTATGTTGGATTTCTTAAATATGAAAGACTGAAACACAGGCACAGCTGTGATTGCAGTTGTGTACTTACAAACAGATACACTAGTACTTTATTGCTAGAGTAACTATTTTTGAAACTTCAGCTGTTAAAATCCAGCCATTTCTGTGCATTGTAAGCATAAGGAATACTTTCACACATGAAAATAAAGTTGCCCAATATGGGTGCCCAAATATAGGCAGATGAATCCATAGCTGCTACTCCAACTTTATGCACTGAATTTTTGAGGAGCAACTAAGAGGAAAAGAGAGAATTTCAGCATTTTGCCCAGTGAATAATTATCTAAATAAGACAGAGACCTGTCGTGGTCATATTATATTGCTTGACCACTGGATTAATCCATCAGAGGCTTTCTGAATAAGTTGGCTGGCTGGATGAGAGAGAAAACTGTTGAGTCTTGCCCTGTAGCAATGATCAACAGAAGAAGGCCGGAGTTCCCAGCAAAGGTTCACTGAAAAGAACACTGACAAGCAAGACCAGATTCTATCACAGAATTTTCCTTTGTGAACAAATACAGAGTCCATGCCACTCCTGTAGACTAAATATAAGTGCTATTCAACAAAATAAAATACAGCAGCCATGAATACTGCAGACCAGTGTTTGATCACTTTAGGCCAAATATATGGCTATTTAAGTAAGCAGCTTTATTATTCTTTCTTTTGTACTTAATACAGCTACTGCCCCTGAAGATGTGTACTGGAATTCTGAATTCCCTGCCTTCCAAAGCAAAGGTTTACACATTACTTTGATACGGTTTTAAATTAACTTTTATTGTCAAATCCATTTCTTGCATGCAAAAAAATATCAAGGGATTGGATGAGAATAAGATTTCAAAGAACTGAGAAATGTGGAATAATTAACTATACTTTCCAGTTCAAGGTTGAGTGGTTTTGAACTGGAGTTGCAAGCAAGTTATTCTCAGTACAATGAGGGACAAAGTACCAGCTTCTTCAGCCAAGAACACGGCTCTTCCAAGCTTGACATCTGATCTGGGTGTCATCTGACATGTCCACATAATGCTGGACATGTCCCTGAGTAACTCCAAGAGCCAGCCTTACACATTTCATGTATCAGCATGTACTAATTTGGATATTCTATAGAACTGGACAGCCCTTTTTAAGATGCACAGAGCATGATAGAATCACAAAATCACCATGGTTGGAAAGGACCTCCACAATCACCAACTCGAACCTTCCTCCCAACATTTCCCTAACCATCAGACCATAGCCTCAAGTGCTACATCTACTCATTTTTTTTAACACCTCCAGGCATGATGACTCCACCACCTCCCGGGGCAGCCTGTTCCAGTGCCTAACCACTCTCTCAGGGAAGAAATTCTTCCTAATACCCAATCGAAACCTCCCCTGGCACAACTTGAGGCCATTTCCTCACATCCTATCATCAGTAATTTGGGAGAAGAGACCAACTCCCAGCTCACTACAACCTCCTTTTAGGTAGTTGTAGAGAGCAATAAGGTCTCCCCTGCCTCCTCTTCTCTAGACTCCCCACTCCAGACTTCTTTAGAACCCCCAGTTCCCTCAGCCAGTCCTCACAAGGCATGTTTTCCAGCCCTCTCAGATGCCTCATTGCCCTTCTCTGGGCGCACTCCAGCACCTCCATGTCTTCCTTAGCCTGTGGTGCCCAAAACTGGACACAGTGCTCAAGGTGTGGTCTCACCAGTGCCGAGTCCAGGAGCACGATCACCTCCCTGCTCCTGCTGGTCACACTGTTTCTGATGCAGGCCAGGATGCCATTGGCCTTCTTGGCCACCTGGGCACACTGCT